GACAATTTATCAATATGTTGCATGACATTATTCGTGCAACTGACGAAAGGAAATCTGTCATTTTTGGGACACTGACTTATCATGTAATGACTTCTGTAAAATATTTGCTATGCAGCCAAATGCTGGTCTCTCCCAACATCTGGCTTCTTAGCTTGGATCTTAGTACTGAGTCTGAATTCCGTCGAGTTATGTAATCGCAGTCCACGTGCAAGAATCATTTCTCAATGAGCATTTCATTCGCTGGTCATAATATCATTTATGATATTTAACATCAGGAAATATCTATTATAACTTTGTTTTGCTGCTTTGAACAGAGTCATGAGACGACGCCTTAATCATTAACCATGACTGATTCCGTGCGAGTTTGCACAAACTCTGAGCAAGACCAACCAAAACCAAAGACAAGCCAGAGGATAGGATGGTCATAGCGCGTAAAGCATTTTCCGCAAAATTAGTAAGTCTTTAATCATTTTAATTGCGAAGTCTAAAGTCCCACGTAGGACTTAAAATAAAGGAAATTTGTCTGGTTATTTTTTTTTCTTTTGGCAAATATTTAAAAGACCGTCATTACGCGCAAAATTTTATCAGTTCTTGCAGGGAGCACACAGGAGACGGAAAAGCAATCAAATTGGAGAGGCAAGTGCACTTAACAGTACTTAGAGGTTCTTTAAGTCTATTTGCTAACTGGTTGTTAGTAAATAGTTGTTCTTTTGAAGCCTTTCTAACTAACGTTTCGGACAACACCCGAAGATTTACAATGAGTGGCAATCGCCAAGGAATAGGTATGTAACATCTGGTGCATATAGACCTAGGCTAAAAGGGGAGCTTAGATCCAATGCTTACTTTTTCAAACGCAAAAATTCTCGTAGCAAATAGAGTAACCTCCTTTTATAAAGGTTTAGTTTCAAGTTGGCTGCCCTGGAGACGGCTTGTTAATGTCGAGTCACGGCACCGTCGAAAGCTACGTTTAGTTTTTGAAAATGTTTCCCTAACATGTCAGAATTATGCTTGAGCTTTTGGCTGATTCATCGTCGTTCGTGCCAAAATTCGTTTTTCCAAGAATTGAAAACGAATTTGTTATACATTCGGTGGTAACAACTTAAACATCCATTTCTTTCGTATTCGGCTCTTAGATAGACCTTAATGAGAGACAGACTATTGCATTCTTTGTTTGCCTCAGAATCGATGCTTTTTTAAGGAAATAGGTATCAACGGAATGTGGGGGGCAAAATTTCGAGCCATTCTCGTAGCTTCACACAACAAACAGAAACATCCTTAGCCATTAAATGTAAAACCTAAGAATCGTTATAAACAACAAAAAAGAAGTGTCTTGAGCACTTGAACAGCTTTCATGGGATCATCACTATCGGTTGCCACAGTTATGATGTTTATGATGGTCCATAAAAACGCAAAAATGTTTAAAACAACAACAACAACAACAACAACAAAACTCAAGCTAATATCTTGCCGTCTTGACCGAACAAGTTTGGTAAAAAGGAATAATTTTTGTTATCCAGTATAAATCTTCGGCTTTAATATTAATCGAGAGTAACTGGTTTTATCTCCGCTGGGAGAGAAAGCCAACTGTGAAGGCGTTTTCTCGTTTTGAAAAATTGAAATATAACATGTTTTGATAGATTTTTAACAATCTCTATCTGAGATTAACTTAATCGGATGACTATAAACTCACTCGTTGGTTTGTACACACGATAAGCTAAATATTGACGCAAAAAAAGAAAAATCGTGTCATAGGCACTTAAATTACACAGTTCTCCGGATCCAGTACACAATTATACTAACATTCAAGCTTGTTTTATTTTGTGTATCTCTTTTGTTAATCTTTATGGCTCTCACACTTTGATTCTCACTTCTTCTTTAACTACGAAAGTTTGACTCTACTCTTCTGCACACTGTCTACATTCTTCTAGTCTGCTTTCCTCTCTCTTCTCTCTACTCTCCTGAGTAAGCTATAAAGAAGCTTTAATAGTCACTACTGACAGATATGGGTGGGCATGCCAGTTAGCTGACCCTGGGAGATTGAAATTTTTTTTTATTAGAACACTAAACCAAACAATTTAAAGAGATTTTTGAAATGAACAACGAAGTATTTAATCACAATGCTTACGTTCAACAGAGTCAATCTCTGATTGCGTCAGCCAAAACAAGAACTTTCGTGCGGGTCCAAACCAACGTCAGTACACAAAGTAAGCACGTCCACCTAAAGAAGTTAGACCAGGCTGTCACAAGTCGGAAACTCACCCCGTCAGTTTAGACCTAAGTAACATCACAATTCAAATTCATACATAAAATCATATAACTAAATTATACTAAACTGATTAACTAACTGACGAGCTAATTATGATCTTGCCAAACACTTCATATCAAATTTATTTGAATAAGATGCCAGATATTTTTTGTGTGTGTGTCGCCATTAGAGTTATAGAGAGACACACGTCAGCAATTTTTCTGCATTATAGTATTATATTGAATACCTCAATCCAAATCACGTTGCAGTAATCATTACAAAATAGGCCGCGGTGACCTCCTCAGTCCAAGAGCGGACTTAAATGGAGTAAATGCCTTGCGGTCAGAATTTTTTCGCAGAATTTTAAATAAGAAGTTCTTTCATGCATCTTGAGAGTATCAAATATAAACCTTAGTGATTTAGAGGGTTCCCAAGAATATGGTGATTTTCTAGGTAAAGAAAAATGCGCGAGTGTAGGTATCCTTTATGGTGATGTTCAAGGCTCCGCCCAGGTTTTTTTGTGATAATTTCAAGTTATTCACCGAGTAGAACTGTTTTCCCTACTTTCGCGATGTTTCTAGATCAACGAAATATTTATCTAATAAATACCTTTGCTTAAGAACTTAAGTGGCTTATCACCTTTATGTGTGCCGAGACAACAGGCGGTTCCTCTTTTTTTTTTTTCTTGGTCTGGATTAGTAAATACCCGGTCTCCCCTAGAGACTATTTCGATCAAAACAAAATTATTCAAATAGTCTGAGTAAATTTTTCCATGCGTTTGGCCACAATTCAAACGACCCTTTGAACTGTCAGCTGAAATCTTCATAGATCTATATTAATGTCACTGAATAATGGATTTCAATAAAATACCACAAATTTTGTCTTTGGTCACGAGAAGTTTAAATTCACAAAACAGAAGATTCTTCTGCTTTTTTTTTTTTTTTTTTTGCTTTGATTAATTGATTGATTGAGTGAGCGAGTGAGTGAGTAGGCGAGTGAGTAGTGATTGATGATGTGACTGCTTAGCCGTCTGACTATCAATGAAGTCAAAGTCATTTTACAAGCTGTTCCATAAGAATCTGAGTAAGCCATGACATATCGTCACAAGATATCCACTCTCGCTTCATCAAAGCTGATTTATAATCGAGCAAAAAGGTAGAAGGTTTCTTGTAAAACAAATCAACAAAGGACATCTCTTTAAAACCAAAAAGATCACCAAAGAGCTTACAGCATTTGCTTAATGGCGAATACGTGAAGACATGCTGTTTAAGTAATTTACAGATTGTAAAGTGTTTTGAATGACAGTTCTGTCTCACCATCGTACGAGTTCATTGAATGATGTAAACGAATCTGTAGTCGTGTTTCCATGACGCCGGATAAAATTACAGTCAGGTACGTCATTTTAGGAAGACACGTACGCAATTAAAACAATTCGTTTTTAGGGCTGGCCACTGGCAAAAGATTGTCGCATGCATGTAGCAGAACAAGGTTGAAAGTAAAGAAATTCTGTACTATTCACTGTTTGTCAACTCATTCTACGTGCAATAAGGAGAAACCACCCGTAAGGGGATTTGGTCTCTTTGGGACCGGAGCCAAATATCTTGGTTTTTGGTGCCGGTATGGAATACAGTCGTAACCGCATCGGTCACAAGGCAAGACAAATGACAATCTAAGATTTGAAACTTTCCAATCGTTTATTTTTCTTGCCGTTAAACAGCTAAAGACTGGATGCACGATAAGAAAGTAATTAGAATAGTGTGGATAATATACATAACACTTCTTGGGTCAGCAATAATGCAATAATGTATACGACAGGTAGCTCGTATCAGTATCGTATCAGAAAGCGTACATTTTTAAATAAGTTAGCATCTCGTTTCCGATGATATGCGTTAAAAATCTGGCACGTTCACTGAGGCCACAAATGTGATGTTTGACGCAGATGTAAATGCACATGTATCAATATTTATTATTTCTAATTTAGCGAAATTCTTTCCGAAAGAACCCGAATGATTTAGGGCTGTAAATGAAGATTCAATTCAGCCTTTTTTCATTGAATTCTTCCAGTTTCTGTTATGCAATTTACGGTACAAATGTCCAAATTGAACGGACTTGGAAAGACTCACCAAGAGCATACATTTGTTTTAAAACTGAAATCAAAACTTCGCTCGCTCTTTCACTACGAACAGACTGTTTGAGAAAATTCAGTTATTAAAGGAATGAAAGTTCCATCGATTAGTTCAACTTTAACTAAATACCTCATGTTTTTACTTTCTAGGTACTTTTTGTGAACGATTAAAATTAATTATAGACGGTTTTAGGCCACTTGTGACGTAATGACACTATTGCTAATACAAATACATTCTGAAACCAATATTTTTCTGTCAACCAAAGTGATTTGAGAGAGTGAAAAGAGAGGATTAATAAGTTATTTATCGGCTTGAGGTTGTGACTAACGTCTTTACTTAAAAATACTGCCCAGCCGGAAAAACGAGATATATTTATGAAAAATGGCAACGAAAGTAGGGATGTACTCGGCGACTCACGAAAGTGTTTCCGTGGCCCGTGGGCAGAGATAGGAAAATACTGACCGGGTAAAGAACCAATCAGATTGCAGGATTTGTTACCGTTACCGTGTCCTCTGAAAAAAAAAAAACAAAAAAAACAAGGAATATTACGACACAGCTAATGATTTCAATTGCGCGAGCGTGCGTCAAAATCCTATTGTGCTAAGATGTCGGAAAGACCTCTAAGCTCTAAACGAAAAGCAAATTAACGGAAAGATACTCGATTTTTAAAGCTATAGAAAGCGACGAAAATAACTTTCGAGTGAACACTTCAACGATTCCCAAACGCGTTACGAATTAAGGCTGTAAAGTGAAACTGAATTTGCTGACTTAAGTGGGGCTTCGCACTTTCAGACCATTCTTTGCCCAGGTAATATTAATTTTCGATTGTTGATATGTTTTTGAGGTATTGGGCAACAGAGGATTTTGCTTACAACTCTCAGAGTTTTCAACATAACGCAATGTGATTTATGGCCGTGAAGTCTAGCAGCCATCGATTCAACCATGTTGAATCTATGCGCAGTTCTTCATATGTACGGAATTCTGACTTTTTTTCGCTTCTAAATAGCATTTCTAGTATTTTTTAGCTTTTGTTTCGAAATATTTCTTTATCATTTTTGCCCTGCTTTGTAGTTGTAATTTTCGGTTAGCACGCCGTTGTTTGGTGAACCTGACATGTGAATACGTCTACTTTGAAATCCGATCGCTCTGTGATTTTTGTCTAAAATTTTCATGTCTGAGTTCATTTTGCTTAAATTTATCATCTTTTCGGGTTGGGCATAGGTTGTTGAACTGCTCCCAGTTTAATATATCTTGTAGATGATTCATTTTGAATGTATTGTGCGCTGTCTTTCCCCGAAGTTTGAAATTGTGAGAAAGGAACATCCAGACAACTGTGATGACAATGTTATAACACAAGTATTTCATACGTTGGCTATTCATTCATCGAGATATGAAGCACAGGCCGTGGGAAAGGTTGGAGAGACCTCAAGAAGCTAAAGTTGCACTCGGTTACGGATTTTAGGAAAACACCACAAACTGGATGTCAGTAAAAGGTTATAAAATGCATATTTTGATTGCAAAGATATTTTTGATCTTCCTTCTTTCAAGGCGAAGGAAGTCGGTAAACAGAAACATGACCAAATGCCATTCCGTCGAATTGATCGGGTATCAAAAGCAGCTCTTGCCATTAGGGACCTTAAGCAAACCATGACGGTGACGGAGACGAGGACATACAAAAACAAAAGATCTAATTGGCAGAAAAATAGCTCAGCACGTGCGTTTTAAAACTTTTTACATTTCTCAGCCGTCCTATGCAAAACAACAACGTGAAATCATCACAATTTGCGCCGTCTGCGAACCGAAACCGCGACGGCAAATTATTTTTAATTTCCATTTGGAATTCAACGCTTCTTTTATACGTTATGCTCAAGTTGAGGTGTGGCGACGTATGAGACGGTAAACACATGCAGTCATTTTTTAAATTCTAATTAAAGGCAGAAATTAATTTTTTAATCGAAGTCTTCCTTGGCGTTGCCGTCCTGACTGCTTAAGGTCCCTAATCTTTCGTGCTCTCCTAACTTCTCGCGTGCTTCTTCGATGAACGTATGCTGACATATGAACCAACTGTTCATTTTCATCGAAAAAAATAAGATGAACTCAAGATTAACAATGTTTGGAAATGTAATGAAAACTTTCCTTAAAAGTAAAACCGCTCATTACAACGAGATTGATATATCCAGGTTTGAAGACACAGCTTGCGCAGGTCGGAAAATTTCTGAGGCAAACTTCTAACGTAATTAAATCAGTCCATCATCATGCAGTCCATCAAGAATACGAATTATCAGGAACCGATATGTATTTCTCTCCAAAGGCACGACCAAACAATTTTTGTGGAAATTTCCAGTCCGATATAATCGAATTTTTCAGCTGAAACAATCGGGTTGAATAAGCAACACTAAGCCGTCACTTCAAAGAGCTTGCATAGTACACAAGCGCACGCGACTTCAACAGTAGTCCTTTCAGAGTTAAAAGAAATTGCATCTTTCTTCTCAATTACTGAATCAACTTTCATGGAACTTGAGAACGGAACGTGGATGTCTTTCGGGAAAAAATTCGTACGCGCGCTAGTTCGCTAAAATCTCAGAAAACTATACATCAAAAGAAAGCTTGATAAATTTAGTTAACGATAAAATTATAAAATAAGCGACTTTTCCTTTTAGGTAGTGTCAGGAGCCTGTAAGGCCTGAAACGACCAAGGGTTCTTCTATTGAATTTATGGTTTATCTGACGCAGCAGCACAAGAAAAATGGCAGCACAGCCGTAATCACAAGGTATCAATCAACAAAATTGTGTAGGGCTTTTTTAATATTCTGATTGGTTGTCTAGATATCGACATGTAAAGTTGGAGCGTCGAAGCGTGTTGTGTAAATGGGCGCCACGGGACAAATATTTTACATATCAAAATTTCCCGAAACGACTTCGTTTATCATTATTACTGGAATGTTTTGGTGAAATTTGACGAAAATCGATCGAATATAAATTCCCTATAAATTCGCTAAAAGTGGATGTATTCTTGCCAAAATGAAAGGCAAGGTTTCAGCTAATAAAGTTTTACTAACAACTCGCGCCACGCCAGGAGATTATCTTGCCCCTGACTAAATACGTGGTAGTTAGAAACTGTTCGCAGAATTTTCAGCAAGACGTTCTTTCAAATATTCTGAGGGTACCAAATAAAAAATTCTGTTGATTTTTGAAGCTAAGGAATGTGTGATCTTGGGTGTCCTTTATCAGATCACTATAGAAGTATAGTACGTGCATTGACGCTACAAACACGATATTCAAAGGCTCCACCCTCTTCCTTTTTTCTTTCACCCGATATCCGCTGCAAACATTTTTTCCCGGATTAAGAAATACTCTGTCTCCCCTGGAGACATTTTGGGAGAAAAACAAAAAGTGCATTTTTTCAAGCGTTTGGCCACAATCCAAGCGACCTTTTGAAAGTATCTTTCTTACAGAACAGAAACTAAAGCTATCTTTGGGTAGGATGCACACCATGAACGGTCAGCTGAAATCTGCACCATTCCGTATGTCAATGATGGACTTCAATAAAATACCAGATCGCCGCCATGTGAACGACTTCAAACTTTAGAGAGCGGTTCAGGCGGTTCTTTTTACTCACCAAAAATTAAAGACTGCATTTGATTAAATAGAAGCTATTTATGAGCATGTTGAGACCACTGGATATAGTAGACGACGAAATTTTAATTGCCATTGATAGTAAGTCCTGCTAGCTCTACCGACATTGCTTTTACCGATAAGGCCCCTCGTTCTCCACGCCTAAAATGGTTAGGATATATAACTTTTTGAAAATGAAGGTCGCCCAGCACAGGAAAAGTCAAGTATATATGATGTAAAATTCTCTATCAGGTTTACCAATGAATTAACATTTTTCTTTATCTCATCAATTGTTTGTATGTGCACACGTTTATTGTACTCTGTATCAGTGCAATCGTGCGATGATTTTTAGCTTGAATAAATCTTGGTAATGGACCAGAATAATCGTTGCAATTTTTAAGACATTTCCCTTTTCCCCTTTTTAACTCGTGAATTGCGCGCATGCGCAAGAGCGAGTTATAGATACGATGTGGGGAATGGCATACGCTCGCTCGCTCGCTCGATTGGTCGATTCCTGTAAACTTTTTTTAGATTTTAGGCTTTTGAGTGCATTTGATAGTTTTTGGCGAGCAATAAACATACGAAATGGCGACCTTTGTTGCTAAGAATAGTGGTGGGGTGAAAAAGAAGCCAATGATAATCTTAAAAGAGTTTTTTTTTTTCGTTTTAGTTTCAACAAGCGGCGCCAGCGACTGGCAGGCATGCAAGGATTCACACTGAAATAACAGAACAACCTTCGTTTTTTCATAAAATTGTAATTTACAATCCTTGAACTTGAAAACAATCCGAAGATTCATTGAAAATATCACTTACTGCGAAGCGCTCGGAGTTTACAGATGTTCAAAAGCTTTTTCTGTTATAGCGTGAGATTGAGGACAAAATTGATCATTACGTTTCGTCGCGTGTGTTTTTCCTGTGTGAAGCAACAAAAGATGCCGGCGACTGACGAAATAACAAGTTAACACGAAAATCAAATAACACCTAAACAAACAATTTTAGCTACCGATTTTCAGTGAATTTTTAAAGAACAATTTTCTTTTAAGTTTCAAGACGATTTGAAGATTCAACATACATACAACGTACTAAAATGCGAAAGTTACACACCACAAAAATTGACAAATAGGCCTGAAATGAAATTCTATCTTGTTATTGATTATACGTTGCTTAGCACGTGACTTAAATCTACCCAGGCGGAGATCCAAAATGACGGTGGCAGGCTTGGCTTAGTTATATCACTCAAAACTCGTTCCCGTTTGTCTCATTTGATAAAGAGGGAATCGTTAATGTTTTCATTAAGACAGTATTGCCTTGATTTTCTAATATTTACAACGAAAGACAGTAAATTTCGCTTTTCACCCACATTTACTTCCAACCTTTTCTTTTGAACCAGAAACAAAAATGATAGATGTTTAAAACACATGACATCATCCACCTTGTCAAATGTAATAGCATGATCATTTCAATTGTAATGCCTTCTTATCCCAACGTTACTTTGTTTCTTTGCTACATTAGCGAACACTGAACTACTGCTCGTGCTCTAAATATGACAATCAACCACAAAATTCCCTAAACCAGATAACATTAAACATAATCAATTCAATGTGTCAATTCATGAGTTTGCTCACAGAGCACTTTGATTCACATTTGAAAACGAGAACAAATTGGACCGCTTTTAAAAAAGTTGTCATTTTCAATTTGACACTGTTATCATTCTCTATTCCGTAGCATTTGTCTCTTTAAGAAGTGCGTATACAACAGATATGTCTAGTCCGATAGTCGAGGAACATCATTTTTCTAATAGTGGTTTTTATCCGCATTAAAGACTGCATGCACGATAAGAAAGTAATTAGAATAATGTATATAGTATAATAACATTTCTTGGGTCAGCAATAATGCAATAATGTATACGACAGGTATATCTCAGTAGCTGTATCGTATCAGAAAGCGTACATTTTCAAATAAGTTAGCATCTCGTTTCCGATGATATGCGTTAAAAATGTGGCACGTTCACTGAGGCCACAAATGTGATGTTGGACGTAGATGACACATCTATAGATCGATCAATTAAATGATTGATGGTGTGATTGCTTGGCCATCAGACTGTCACTGCAGTCAATTGCATTTCATTCCCTGCTCAATAACAATATGATTACTTACGGCATATATAGTGACAAGATGTTCCTTCTTGCTTTATCAAATCTGATTTAAAATCGAATGACGAAGCTTAAAGTTTCTTTAAGGTTTCTTTAAAACCAAATACGAGATCCTCAAAGAGCTTTTGGCATCTGCTTAATGGCGGATTGGTGAAGACGTTCTGTTTAAGTAATTTACAGATTGTAAATCGTAATAACTGACAATTGCATTTTACAATTGGGTGAGTCAAAATGAATTGTGTGAAAAGATCTCTGGTCGTGACTTTACGACTCCGGATAAATTAAACTTAGTTATGTTGGATAATTTTAGAGGAGCACGTACGCAAATAAAACAATTTGTAGTTATGACGAGAGATGCAAATACATTTGCATGGTTAATAGTAAGGACACTCTTTTAGAACGGCAGGCCGTTGGATAAGTTTAAGGTGAAAAGTTTCGAGATCGTGAAACGCAGAATTAATATATTTTTTCCTTTGGAGGGATTACAGAAGAGAATCTCAATGGGATGGTGGCTTTCATTGCTAAAGCTTAAAATTTTGACCTTTTTACAGCTAAAGGCCATTAGTTTAAAACATTTACTTGTCTGCTTTTACTATTAGAGTCAATCGTCAAGAATAGTCCAGATCGAGCTGCTGTTGAGTTGATAAAGAACAATACGCCTAACGGGTGACTTTTTTAGCCGTTTTACAGCCAACGGTCAACTCCACTGAGATCCTTTGAACAGTTTTCGATTCGACAGTCTCACCAGCAAATTCTCTGTCATAAGCGGAAACTGCTAGATGACACTCTTAAGCTATATACATGTATCTGCTTTGGTGACTTAAAATCAATGAAAATTGCACTTTTGCAATTCAAATTTGAAACCACTTGCTGCCATGAAACTTATTAGGGATGGCATCTCTGCAACTATATTGCTGACTCACTTGCCTTTAAGTGAGTTGGCAATTAAAAGAAATGTTTTCAGGAGATTTCCAGTTGTCATTCGTTAAACCAATTGAAACAACGCCCGTGAAAGGGCGGCTTGTGTTTGTCATCCGTATTTAAGAGTTGTTAATCCTTATTTGTAAGATAACAAACAGGATTTCTTCAGTTATTGTCAACTTTAATTAAAGAGACGGTTATATCCCTTAATCGAAGGAATATGTTTCCATGGCGACATGCATAGTTTTTCATACAACTGAAAAAATGGCATTTATCACTTTTAATATGCAATGACTTTCAAAACCATTCAAGAACGAGAATTTCAAGACTAGCTGAGACTACTTCTCAGTTATTGAACATTTTAGATTCCAATTTGTGGAATATTAACCACAATTCACCACCAATTCTCACGGACTCGTGCATCTTCAATCAAAGGTTAACCGTTAAAATTTGTAGTTATTCAGTGAAGAATGCCGTCTTTCGCTGCTGCGGAAAATATGTAAAAAAATATGCAAAGAAAATATGTCGCACTCCAAACGTCTCGGAATGTCTTTCGATGCTGGTTCAGAATTAAAATACAGTCGAGTTATCGTACTCGGTCGAACTGTCACGTGCATGGTAATCGATAACTGTACAATTTTATTTCCACATTTGTTCGGCCTGTTCAATCGCTTCATTTGAAAGTTTGAGGAGGAGGAGCTTGGACTCAACAGAGGACCTTAGACTCAACCCCGCGTGAGGAGAATAATCAAACAGCTAGAGAAACAAACCATTATTGTTATGTTACACGTGGTCGGAAAACCGCTGGTCCTTTGATCGGATTTGTACAACTGAGCACAGTTTCTAGTTGTTAAAAATAATAACGATAATAATGATAGACAATCTTACTTACACGTCTCCGACGTCCTGTTATATGTCCCTTCTTTTGGTGCCTCTTCTTCCTCTGCTTCTTTCAAGTGGACAAGAATACTAGTGTTCTTTTGGAAATTTATTGGGGCTGCACGCGTTGATGGTAGAATATCAAAAGTCAAAGAAAGTGCCAGAAACAGCAGAGCTGAACCTGAAGGAAAGAAATCATTATG